GTCTCTACTTGCCGGAGCCCATGGGCGTTCGACGCGGCACCCGCGCAGTGGAGCGTCGTCGACGTTGTCGCCACGCGAGCCGATGGCTCTCCAGAGGCGGCGGCGGCAGGCCGACACATTTCCGAGACACTTCTGAGACACTTCTGAGACACCTCCGACGCACCTCCGAGACCCGTTTGACTCACCGGAGCGGCGGCGGCAGGCGGCGCGGCGGCGGGCCCCCTCGGCGCCCTCCTCTCCGCTGCGCACGGGCTTCTTGACGGCGCGGCGCGGCAGCTCCGCAATTGATTAGTACTGATGAAGGGGATTGAGTAGCAGTGATATGAGTGAAGGAAGGGACTTAGCAGTAATGAGTGAGTGTAGGCGCGGCGCGGTCTCTCTCGCAGCTCGGCCAGGCGAGCCCGCTCGGCCGCCGAGGGCCTCGAGTCTGCGTCCGCTGCGCTGACGGCGGCGGAGGAGGCGGAGGCGGAGGCGGAGGCGGAGGAGGAGGAGGAGGAGGAGGAGGAGGAGGAGGAGGAGGAGGCGGAGGCGCCAACGTGCCGTTGGCCTTGCTGCTCCGGTCCTCGCCACATCAGCGCCCGAGCGACGCGCCGCCGCAATCGAGCAAGCCTCCCGCCCCTGCCTCCGCCCCTCCTCCCGCGCCTCCCCCCGCCCCTCCCTCCGCCCCTCCTCCCGCGCCTCGCCGCTCGCTCGAGCGGCCGGCACGCCCTGCCGACGGCAAGCCATGCCGCCCCCCCGACGCGCCGGCACCGCCCGACAACATTCCGCCCCGCCGCGCTCGCGCCTCCCTCGGCGGCCGGAGGGTGAGCGCCGCGACTCCTCGGCCCAACGAGTACTACTCACGGTGTTGAGTAGTCATTAATTGCTGACAGGTGAGCGCCACTCCTCGGCCCGCGCCCGTCTGCCAACTGATTAATCAACTGATTAATACTAGTCACTCTATTAGTGAATCATTGGTTAATGAAAGGTGAGCGCCATCCTCGGCCCGAATTGATGAATACTAGTCACTTTCCTAACGAATCGTTGATTAATGAAAGGTGAGCGCCATCCTCGGCCCGAATTGATGAATACTAGTCACTTTCCTAACGAATCGTTGATTAATGAAAGGTGAGCGCCATCCTCGGCCCGAATTGATGAATACTGGGGGGGGGGAGTCACTTTCCTAACGAATCGTTGATTAATGAAAGGTGAGCGCCATCCTCGGTCCGCCCGACGGGGCGCCGCCGGTGCCTGACCTTCCCTCCGCCGACGTCGCTGGCGGCGGCGAGGGCGGCGGCGCTGGCGGCGGCGAGGGTGGAGGCGAAGGCGGAGGCGGAGGCGGAGGCGGAGGCGGAGGCGAGGGCGGAGGCGGCGTCGGCGAGGGCGACGGCGGATGTGGCGTCGGCGCTGGCGACGTCAGCGCTGGCGGCGAGGGGGGCGGCGGAAGCTGCGGAGGCGGCTCATAGTCCTCTTCCGAGAAGCCGCTGCAGCAGCCGCCGCAGCCGCAGTCGCAGCTGCAATGGCAGCGGCGACCACAGCGGCTGCCGCCGCCGCCGCCGCCGCCGCCATTGAGACCGACGTCCTTGCCCACACAAGCCCCGCCGCGGCCTCCTCCTCCTCCGCCGCCGCTCCCTCTTGCCCCGCCGCAGCAGCCGCTCGGCGCGGCTGGCCCGCTCGGCGAGGACAGCCACGTAGTCATTAAACCACTACTGATGAAGGCGTCAATTGATGATTAGTCGCCCCGCTCGGCGAGCACAACACGTCCCTCAACGAGGCGATCCTGCCGCGCAAGGCGCGGCGAGACCGGCCGAAGATCCGCCGAGATCCGCCGGAGATCCGCCGAGACGACCGGCCAAAGATCCGCCGAGATCCGCCGGAGATCCGCCGAGATCCGCCGAGACGACCGGCCAAAGATCCGCCGAGATCCGCCGGAGATCCGCCGAGATCCGCCGAGACGACCGGCCCGCGACCAGCGCGGGGCGAGCTACTCGACCGCGGCTCGCCTCTCCACACCTCCGTCCGCCCACAGGCGCAGGGGCTCCGCCGCGGCGCCTGGCGCAAGTCGGCGGGAGGCACGCCCGAGAAGGCGCAGGGCGCGAGGCTCGGCGGCGGGGCGATGGGCGAGGCGATCGCTTCGGCGCTGCACCGGCGGCGGGCGGCCGTTGTGGAGGAGGGCGATGAGGGCGAGTGGAGCGAGTAGGGTCGAGCTGCTTGGCCGAGCGGCAGGCGAGGAGGAGAGGCGAGCCCCCCTCGCACCGAAAGTTGCCTCGCAACACCTTTCGTTCGATTTCGTGAAGACGTGCAGTGCACGCATCCGGCGACAAGTAAGATCTAGGACCGTAGCCAACTCGTCGAGTTCAGAGCACAAGAGACCCCACACGCGTGCGCGTAGCATGAGTGCATGACGCCCACATCCCCACCGCTAAAACGGATACGCTAAAACCAACGCGTGTACCTGGACGACGTGTACTGGGCTGGGTTTTTAGGCATTGTGGGGTTGGCACTCCCGTCGACCCTCATGACCTCCTGCGGTCTCTGAGATGGACACCAGTGGGTGTGGGGCCACAGCCAGGATACACTCGAAGGCTGGGTAAGCAGTAGAGGTCGATACTCGACGCGTCCCACATGGTCTGTGTCGCTGTCGGCACGCTGTCGACAGGACGTCGAGCGACACCGGTGGCAGTGCCACCCAGGAGTGGTCGGTCGTCTCCCGTCATGAGAGAGCCACCATGTGATCCGTATGATGGTTCCTGACAACCGCCTCAGTCAACTTTTGTCACAGTTCCCGCTCTGAGAGGAGCTGCGGGTCAGTTCGACAGCTGGAGCTGTGTCGCCGGCGTGCGGCGGCCTGCCTCCGGAGGTGCCTCTGAGGTGGACATTTTTTTGTCACCGTGAGAGAACGCGTTCGAATTTTTACTCCGGAACTTAAACTTCACACGCGCACCGGCCAGGGCTACAATAGTGCCAGTGAGGCGGAGGCGCGAGTCGGAAGGCCGCGACCGTCAAGTGTTCCCTTCGTTTTCCTACAACCGCTGTGAACCCAGCCACGTACGTGGGCGGCAACCCTCCGCGCCCGAAACGTGAAATGTCCCCCACAGCCCCCGCCCCCCTGCCCCCGCCCCCCCCGCCCCCCTGCACAGTGGCACTAACACGCAAAGAAGAAGGGCGCGAGTTTCTCAAGAACATGGGGAGCAGAGACAGAGCTATTTCACGATCAGCCACGAGAGCCGCTCAGACAGACAGGACTGGCAGCACGCGCTCTCTCTCTCTCTCTCTCCAGTTCATCTCCGGCCGGACCCCCAGCCAGGCAGGTTCATTCAGCGCTGAACCGCCAAAAGAGCTTCAGCAATTGGCGACCGTATTCGGAGTCCCGTCATCGTTGAAGCAGCGATTCCCTCCCATGTCAATCCAGCATGGATATACTTGACATCCTTCTGGGTGGTTGCAAGGTGGGTTACTGCAGAACCCCGTGGATTCTGGTTCGTCGTTGTCGCACCAAATGTACATGCATGAGGTGTACCCGTGCCATTGAGTCTCTTTTGAGCATTGAGACCCATAAGGAGCATTCGCTGGATTATCTTTGGCGCACAGCCCGGCGTCGGTCCTCCGACAGTGATTCGCGCATGACCCCATAGTGCCATCGTTGACACTGCCTCTCGCAAGAGATTTGCCATGTTGTACGCCCCAAGCGTCCCATTCCATGTGCTGCCAATCGCAGCACAAATTTTTTCTTGCATCGCAGCCGACGCACGTGGCACGAGAACGACTCACTCTCGGTACGTTTTTGCACGCATCCGAGCCTAAAGACCAATGATCGTCCTGTGCCCCCGAGTTCATTTTCGGGTTACACCAATCCTCGCTACCCAACGCGGCCAAAGGATATCCACCTCGAGAACCTCGAGAGTAGCGCCACATGAAGACTGGGGGGAATAAGGAAAGGAAATCTCCGGTAGTCCTGGGATGCGTCCAACCCCCCCCTCCGAGCACGCTGCCGAGCTAGAGCCGGAGACCGAGTTCGATGCAGGTCGACGTCCCCGGCGACGTGGCGGGAGAGCCGGCGGAGGAGGAGGAGTCGACGTCGGGCGCGTCGGGCGAGGCTGCCGGCCTCTCCACCTCGAGCCGCTACAGTGCGCCACCTCCCCCGCCGCCGCCACTCGCCGATTCGCTCTCTCCGACCCTGCGCCCCGATCTGGCAGGCGTCTCCTCGCTGTGGGACTGGGCGACGACGCGGAACGACGGCTCCGACTCCGAGCAGTCGACCGGCTCCCGCTCCTCGAGCCGCGCCGCGGCCCTCTGGAACTGGCGGAACGGCGCCGCGTCGCCGCCTCCGTCGGAGCCCGGCAGCCGGCAGAGCAGTGTCCACGGCGGGAGCCAGTTTGAGGGGTCGCAGAAGGGCGGCGCGGGCCTGTGGTTCTGGCGGAACGGCCACTCCCGCGAGGCCTCGGCCCACGGCGCCAACGCGTACCACGCCGCCATCGCCGCGGCTCGCGGCGGCGCTCTGCCGCCAGGTGGGCCTCTCCACAGCCCGGAAGAAGGGTCCCAGAGCCCGCGCAAGGACGGGTCGCTGGCGTCGGTCGGCTCGTCGACCTCCCTCTGGTCCTGGGCCAACGGAGGCTCCACGCCCGACTCGGACGCGGAGCACAGCGTCAGCGGCGGCGGCGGCTGGAACTGGGCCAACGGCCGCGTCGGCCCGCCGCCCGACTCGAACGACTCGAGCAGCCCACGGCCAGATGCCACACCCTCTATCCACCCTAACACCCCTGCTGCTGCTGCTGCTACTGCTGCTATTGCCACTGTTGCCACTACTACCTCTAGTCTTGCTATCTACTGCGTTCGCGGCTCGAGCGTTGCGGCTGCTACTGAAAGGCGCCCTTGATGGATTCAGACAGTCCTTTCATTCCACAGGCATGCACGGATCCGTCTCCCTCTCGCGCGACTCGTCCATCAGCGGCGGGATCTGGTCGTGGGCCAAGGGGCGGCAGTCGCCGGCGCAGTCTCGCGACCCGTCGGTCGACGGCGGCAGCCACTTCTCCTCGGGCGAGATTACCCGAGATTACCCGAGATGGCCCGAGATTACCCGAGATGGCCCGAGGAGAAGTGGCTGCTGCCGTCCTCGCCCTGGCGCGCTGGTCCACACTGAGGCGTCCTGCCACTCCGTCTCAGGCCCTAAGTCGCCCGGCGCCGTGCCGCCGTCGCCGGGAGCGGTCATGCCGCCGTCGCCGGGAGCGGTCATGCCGCCGTCGCCGGGAGCGGTCAACTACTCTTCTTCGCACGGCGGGATGCCCAAGTCGACGTCGAACACAAAGCTGTGGTCGTGGGGGCAGGGCCGCCCCACGCCGCCCGCCTCCCGCGACAGCTCGGTCAAGGGCGGGAGCCACTTTGGCAAGCTCTCGATGGACGGCAGCAGCCACGGAAGCGGCGACATCGTCCACGCGGGCAGGCTCTCGATGGACGGGAGCAATCTCGGGGAATCTCGGGCCATCTCGGGTCATCTCGGGCCATCTCGGGTCATCTCGGGTCATCTCGGGTAGGCTCTCCATCCTAGAAGCGGAATACGTGTTAGTGTACATCCCAACCAGCGCCCGAGAGGGCCACGTACTCCGCTGTACTCACCCGCGTTCCGCTGTACTCACTGTACTCCTCTCCGTTGTACTCGCGCGGTGCTCTGAACACGCTGCTCACTACCGCCTTCCCCGCCCTCACGCCGGCGTATTCAGCACGTAGGCTCACCATGGACGGAAGCAGCCACGGGCTGAGCCGGCTGTCTATGGACGGCAGCAGCCACGGCCGCGGCGCCAAAGAGCCTCTCGCCCCCCGTAAAGCTGTGGCTGTGGACGGCGTCTGTTCACACCTCCGGCCTTGAGTCAGGCGCAAAGAGCCTCTCGCCCACCGCCGCCGCGCCGGCCGCCGTCAAGGACGTGTCCAAGCGCTGAAGCGCGCCCCTGGTTTGGGGGGGAGGGGGGGAGGGGGGGTCGAGCCTTGCCGAGATTGTGCGAGATTCTCCGAGATTACCGAGGTTCGCCGGCGGAGCGGAGGAGTCGACAGCGAGGCGGCGACCCCCCTGCTCAAGCCGGCTGTAGACAATGCGGGAGCGCCCGAGCCGCGAGGGATAGGAGAGCGCTCTTCCCTCGCCGCGCGCGCGTACTTGACGCCGTTCTGTCTGATATGCCCCCTGCTTCCTGTCTGTCTGATATCGTGTCGCCCCCTTTCGTCTGTGGCACCGCGCACTCGCGAACGCTAAGATCCGATCTGTGGTTCAGTGAGTAGTTGCCGGCGCTCCGACGGGGCACGGTGTGGGGAGAGGGTGTGTGTATAAACACAGAGGCTCTATATAGGGGGAGGTGCAAGTTACGATCGAGTACTATCGCGATAAGACTCGGTCCCGGCCCCCGCCGGGGGACGCGTGTAAGGTTTTCGTCGGGCTTTTTGCGTGGAGGGCGTGGCGCGCGTCCCACTCTCAGACACTCCAGGTCGCGACGAACGAGGACGGTGATTAATGAATGCCGGGTGTGGCCTGTGCGGGCCCATCTCAGCACCAACCGGTCGACCTCTCCCCTCTGAGCGACCCGCTCCGGTTCGCAGCCGCCAATACGGTCTCGACGCGCTCTCCACTCCGCCGGTGGACAAAAGAGCAATCCCAAGCCCCGGCCGGCCCACCGCACTCGAACCCGACAACCTCGCTCTCGGGTAATCTCGCCAGCAGCGCGGGGACCGCCGCGGCGTCGCGATAGAGCCGTGCATACCCGCTCACGAGCGCCTCCATGTAGGCCGCCATCGCAGCGGTGGAGAGGAAGCGCCCTGCCGCCTCTGATGCTGCGCGTGCCATCCGCCTCGCCTCGGCGTCGTGGCTCCGCAGCCAGAGCACGCCGGCGCTGATGTTGCCCAGGTCCGAGGCGACAGGCAAATAGTGCTCCCATGGCCGGAGCAGCGGCTCGAACCACTCGGTCACCCCGCTGTCCTGCTTGATGAGCGCCGCACGCGACAGCAGGAGGCGCTTGAGCTGATCCGACCAGCCGCCGACCCCCTCGACGTTGACCACGTAGCGGAAGCGGCGGGCCTGCTCGGCCACCGAGAGCGCCTTGTCGGCCGCGCTCTTGCCCACACCAAGCCTGGCCAAGCAGCTATTGTACTCTGCGCTCTCGCGTCGGAGTAGCTTGCCGACGGCGGGCCTCGCCCCTTGCAATCCGGATACAAAGACGTCGAGCTGAGCCGGCCGCTCGCAATGCTGCCAGACCAGCGCAAGGCGGCCCTGCGGACGAGGAGGGACGTGTGTTGACGGACGTGCTACCCCGGTTTGCGGTGCGGCGTGGCGGAATCGAACAACGAGGCGCGATGCAACCTGCTCGCGCCACTTGCGCCGGAAGATCTGGAGGCGCGTGAGGGTGTGGTTGGAGGTCCAGCGGTGGTTGGTCGAGTACGGCTCGGCAGCCTCGCCCCGGAAGACCGCCTTTGCGGCGCGGCAAGGCCAAGCGGCATCCGCCTCGGGCCCTCGCGCCGCCAGCGCCGCCAGCGTCGCGTCCCATGCCGAGAGAGGCGGGTCCCTCACATTCCACTGGACGGCTGGCAGCGAGGGAAAGCTCGCGCACGACACCATCGTCAGCCACGGCAGAGGCCGCCGTTCAAACATGCCATGGCAGAGCTCGTCTACACAGAGCCGCACCGCGAAATCCGGCAGCGGCGAGCGCTGCCTCGCTAGCGCCCCGCGGATGAGACGCAACACCACCTCGAGCCGGCGCATTGCGGCGCCGGCGGGCGAGTCTGAGCCGGTTCGTCGGCACGAGGGGAGAGGCTCGAGAAAGAGGCGCGACTTGAAGGGGACGTGCACAAAGAGGGCGCCGCCGCGCACGACCAGCAGCGGGCACGTGCGCGACGGCGACTTGAGGTGGCAATGCGAGCGGTTTGGCCCGAGGACGGGCTCAAGGTCGGCCTCGCGCACCCCGGCGGCGAAGGGCGAGAGCCAATGCGCCGCAAGCTGGCTCAACTTCTCGCGCTCCTGCCCCCACCCGGCGCGTTCGCTGGCGCCGGGCCGCGCCTCACACTCGCGTGCCTCGACGGTGATCGCGTCAGTCGGCGGCCTCGCGAGCTGGCAAGAGTCGACTCGCGCTCGAATCGTCTGGCTGCGGTGAACGCGTGCCGCGGCATGCTGGGCCCTATGCCTCGACCGGTTGGTCGACGACCGGTGCCTGGACCGGTTTGGCGCGAGCCGCACGGGGCGCAAGCGGTTCGTCTGACCGGTCCTGTTGTCCGGCTTGACCCTGTGGAGCAGCTGGCACGGCGGCCGGCTGGCCTTGGGCGTCGCGCCCCAGAAGAGGGCGCGCTCGCGCGCATAGCGCTCCGAGTGGCTCCTGCAGCAGCTGAAGTTTGAATTGAACAGGTCCGGACGGAGCGAGAGCATGTCACTCATGGAGCACCAAGAGGGATGCTGCCGGCACAGCGACGGGCCACGTGTCTCGCAAAACGCGAGGTTGCCTGCAGAGAGCAGCTGCCTCGTGGCACTGAGCATCCGCCGCGAGTAGCGCACCGGCGCGAGCAGCGCCGAGTGGACGTCGCCATCTCGCAAGTAGTTGCGAACCGGCAGCTGTGAGTAGAGGCTCTTGCCGCGGCCGTCTGTCCGGTCGAGCGCGCGCCCGTCGTCCTTTGCGACGAGGAGGTCGGACGGAATGGCGTCGAACGCCTGGATGAAGGACGCAATATCGCCCACCCACCCGATGTCGTAGTCAAACACCCAGACGTAATCCGGAGGAAGGACTGACGAGGCGCCACCGAAGCCGCCACCACCGCCTCCAGTCAGCCGCGACCACCACCGCCAAAGGGGCATAGGAGAGCGCCGAGGCGGCTCAAAGAGCCGAGACCGAATTGCGCCGGCGAGGGCGTGCGCGTCGCACATCAGCCAAGACCAGTGCAGCCCGGCGATCGCGGACGGCTTGGGGTAGGTGCCTACGGGCGTGAGCAGCTCCTCCTCAGCGCCTGGCTGCGAGTTGTGGCGGGTGTCTGGGTCGTTGGGTGCCCCGGTGGCCGTCCGCCAGCGCGGAGATGCCGCCGAAGAACTTCGGCCCCCAGGCCGCCGCGTGGTCGCGCCAGTCGACGCACCACACGGTCGCATCCCCGAGGCTGGCTCGCAGCGCGTCCAGCGCAGGGTGCGGTGTGCCGGGCGGAGGGCACAGGTCGCCCTCGCCTGCGTGTAGGCGATGAATGGCAGCTCAGTCCGATGAGAAGGAAAGAGTGTAGTCAAACAGCAGGGCATGGTGCGCGCACCGTCGCCGACCAGGAAGCTGACGTAGAACGGGATGCCCCTAGCAGCACGGGCGCCGCGCTGGTTAGGGTTAGGGTTAGGGTTAGGGTTAGGGTTAGGGTTAGGGTTAGGGACGCCAACCGAACTCAGTGAGCGCCTTGAGCGCGCCGCACTCCATGCACAGCTTCATACCTGCGGGCGTCACGTCCCGTGTCGGGCTCAACACGACAGCCCACAACGCCGCGTCGAGATTGCGGACGTCGGATGCCTGCATTTCTTTTACTTTTAGAACTTTTCCAAAAGCCCCACCTTGTGCAGCGATGAGGAACCGCAGGTATTCCCGGATGTTCCAACCTATCTTCGCGAACTCGAGACTCGAGTGACGAGTCACCTGGAGTGCCGTCATAGAGATAGACTGGAGGCTTTAGAAATAAAACCTTGAAACATCTAGAGAGGAGACTTTTAGAAACATCACAAGTCTGAGCTCACTGGAACGGCTTTTGCCAGGGAGTCCCACAACTCCTCATCCTTCAACAAGTGGGCAGCTAGTTCATCCCTTAGGCCCGGTGGCCACCGATCCATCTTGCTGTTGAGCAGGCAGGACCGCAACATTGCTTGATCGGAGCCCAATCTCGGGTCGGAAGGATATTGCCCAGACAGCCTCAAGTAGTTTGTCCACACCAGGAGCAGGTAAAAGGCGAGTGCTCCCCCGTCTGCTGAGAGGCTTTGGTCAAGGAGTTCTTTGTACGCTTTGAACCGTCTCCTTTGGCCGCGCTCCTGCGCTGGGGTTAGGGTCATGTTTCCGGTGGTCTCCTTGGCTTCTTGTTCACATGGATCCTTGTATTCTGAGTAGACCCCCGGAGAGTAGGCCTTGTATTTGCATAGGCAATACCACCCATAAACCCCCCTTGGCTTCGGGCCATGGAAATGGGCGATGCGTATGTTTGTCTTCTTCTTCTTTTGCCAGCCCCAGTACGCCTTCCAGTTCCACTCATCGGGTAGCTTGTCGATTGATCCCTCGAAAAACTTCAGGAGGAGACCCTGGTCTAAGGCCGGAAAGTGAAACTTGTGCTCCACCCCAAAGCGCAAAAGTGCGTCGCGCTTTTGCGAGAACCGCTCCACGTCCATCACCATCACCCCGGAGTTGCTGGGAGCGGAGCCTCTCACGGCTTCAGAACCCATGGCAAACAGCCCCCCCTTCCGAGGCCGAATGAGATTCTGCTGGCCAATGTCCCCCAAGAACAAGACATCCGTGTCTGTGTACAGTACCTGCTTGTAGGACACTGTAGATTGGCATCTGCTCTTCTCGCCACGTAGATGCGCGCCAAGCGGTCCGGTGTCGTTGACTGTGAGATCGAGCCGCAGGTAGGCGCCAACGCTGGGGCTGTGCTGCGACGCTGGCGACAACTTGTCCAGGAAGCTCAGCTCATGATATATGACCTCCACCCCTTGCCCTTGCAACCAGGCCGTGACGTTTGTTGGCTCGCCATCGTAGATGAGATGAGGCAGGAGTGAAGGCGCTGCCTTGCGTTGCGAGCCCACTGCTGCTATGACGTAAGCCATACTGGCTTTGATGGCATCTCGATACATGTATCTCGCACCAATGGCCATGAACCACGGCACGCAGCCTTTGGGGCAGTGGCATGGAGATGTGCTTGGCGATATTCGTAGCTTGCGCGATTTCGTGTGGATCTCATTGAGGACCTCCTCGTGGTCCAGGGGGTCGTAGGCCATTAATGCGCCCATGGCCTAAGTAGGTGCCGGCGGCAAGGGGTTGAGGATGCGGGCATCCGGGGTGCGGAGGTGTGGTGGTAGCGGGACTCGCCGGAAGCGCAGTGACGTATGGCAGCGCAGTTGAGGATGCAGCAAGCGCGGCGCCGCCAGCGGCGGTGACCAAGCCGCCAGAGACGGTGGCCAAGCAGAGAAGAATGCCGAGCAGGCTGGACCAGCCGAGGCGGCGGGCCTTTGAGTTGCGGCGCCACATTACCGTGCCGATGACGGCCAGGGCGGCGGCCGCGGCGGCGACCTGCGGCGGGCCCGCCGCGAGCCACGAGAAAGCGCTCGCGAAGAAGCCGGCAGGCGCCGCCGCCGTGCCGGTGAGGCGCGCCGTGGCGGCGGCGAGGCAGGTGGCCCACGCCGCGCCGCAGGCGATGGCGAGGAGGATGAGCACGAGGGCGGGCATGAGAAGCGGCGAGCAGCTCACGAGACGCCGCCGAGGCGACGCCGGATGAGAAGGTAGGGGACCCCTTGCCCCAACAACCTCTCGAGGTTCTCGAGGTGGATATCCTTTGGCCGCGTTGGGTAGCGAGGATTGGTGTAACCCGAGCCACGGAGGCGTGTTTTCTGGCGGCCGACCGTCAGTGCACGGAGTTGCCACTTCTCCGACTGCCCCGGCTAGTTCCCGAGGTCGTCGGGTGTGACCCCTTCGTCCCCCGAGACCTAGCGCGGGTGGGTTGGAGGGGGCTCGCCCCGTTCCTCCCCATCGGGCCGCGTGAGCGGCCTCGCCTCGCAGATTCGTTTTCGCGCCTGGGTCAGGCGCGCGGGGCATCCCCCGGGTCGCTCGACCAGCGATCCGAAGAGTGGCCGCTATGCGAGGGAAAGAGCGGGGCCCACGGAGGCACCTCTCCACGTCCGCAGCCGGCTCCGCTGCTCTGCAGGCTCCGGATAAGCCCTGCCCACGGCTCAGTCACCCTTACCTCACTCGGGATGCCAACACTAACTCAACCGCCGAGATCGACCCTATGCAGGCGACCAGGCGCAAACAGACCTCGGTCTGAGGCGCGCTACACCGCCTTCGGCACTCGCCCTCGCCCGCGAGCCCTCGGACGCGCCCCACCCGCACCCTCACCAACCAAACCCCTCGCCTGAATTTGAAACCGCCAACACGGCGGATATCACGCGAGATCTAGTCAGAGCTGACACACAGCTCCATTCACACCTCGCGACCAGAGGCGACTACCACCCTCGACAAATCCCCGGAACCCCACCACCGCTCGCCTACCTTCCGCGTACGGCGACACCCCGAGACGCCACCTCGGCAACACCCCAACATCGGCAGGAAAGATTCACACCTCGACGGCGCTATAATGCGCCCCACCCACACAGACTGGACAGGCCTGCTCTCGGAGAGGGGGGCTAGGGGGCCAAATCCACGGCCACAACCCCCTAGAGGCAATGGAGCTGAGAGAAGGCGCTCGACTGCAAGGGTAGCAGAGCGCCACTCCTACGCCCACGCCCCCTCAAAGACGGCAGAAACAGTCACACGCAATTAGTACAAATGAGAAGGTGAAAAGATCTTATCAGCCAGGCGGGCAGGGCAGGCGGGCAGGCGGGCGGGGTCAGGGAAGACTATTCCTAGCGGGCGAGGGCCCTCGGGTTACGTACGCCTCGTCCGGCCCCCTCCGATGGGGGAAGGGGAAAGAGCGGGTCCTCGGGGTACGCCTCCTCCGGCCCCCTCCGAGGAGGGAAGGGAAGGGCAGAAATCTTTTCACGGCGTTCAGCATCGTCAAGCACCTCTCTGCTCATGTCCTCGGCATTAGTGGCCCTCGTGATCGGCTGGTCGCCGACGCGTTCCTACGCTCCAGCCGTGGCGCCGCGGGCTGTGGTGCGCGCTCAGCCGATCCAGCTGATGCTGCAGCCACCAAAAATGCCGTGGGAGGCGCGTCCCGCTGCCGTCCGTTTCCGCTGATACGTGTATATGACCCCCGTGCCACCAACGCCCGCCCGCGCCACCCTCAGGACTTTGAGATGCCCGAGCTGCCAAGGATGCCTTGGGATTCTGGCGGCGAAGACGCCGGCGAGGTGGGTCGATCATATCATTATCAATAATTAAGCGAGCCGCCTGCCCCGCCCTTGCAGCCGCCCCCTCTGCGTGACTAGGCGGTCGCCAGGTTCGGCTGGCTCAATCTGGACCCGCATCTGCCGCTGCCCGACCTCGAGGGGCTGAAAGGCGGGCGATGCCCTTTTCCTGACACGTCCTGAGACACTTCCGAGACACTTCGCTTCCTGAGAGACCGCCCCCGTCCGTCGCCTCCGTCCGACTCGCCCTTGCGTCCCCGCCGCCGCACGCTCGCCCCCCCGGACATGGTCTCCTCACGGGACACTCATCGAGGGCTCACTGACCCAGCTCACACGACTGCGACGCTCCCTCTCCACAGAGCACCGGGAAGAGTGTTACCTAACCCTAACCCTGACCCTAACCCTAACCCTAACCCTAACCCTAACCACCAGCCCGACGCTCACTACAGTTAACCCAGTAGCTCAGTGCCCACGTCCTCGTTCTGCCGCCACACACGCGCGGGCTTCGCTGACCGCGCTGTTGGGCGACCTAAAGCCCCACCGGCGGCGAGCCGCGCTAGCCTGTACACTGCAGGGGGGCTCCCGAGCCACGATGTGTGTGTGTGTGTGTGTGTGCGTGCGTGTGTGCGCGCGTCTCTCTCTCTCTCTCTCTCTCTCTCTCTCTCTCTCTCTCTCTCTCTCTCTCTCTCTCTCTCTCTCTCTCTCTCTCTCTCTCTCTCTCTCTGTGTGTGTGTGTGTGTGTGTGTGTGTGTGTGTGTGTGTGTGTGTGTGTGTGTGTGTGTGTGTGTGTGTGTGTGTGTGTGTGTGTGTGTGTGTGTGTGTGTGTGTGTGTGTGTGTGTGTGTGTGTGTGTGTGTGTGTGCGTGCGTGTGCGTGTGTGGGAGAGACGATGTTGTCCGAAGACGTGCCGCCGCCCACTGAC